AATTGGCATCTCAGTTTCAGTTACTTTCCCATCAAGCTAATGTAGGTTGCCTGTGCCTTTTCAATAAATAATTTCATGGTAGTTATTCTGATGAACTTGTTGACCATGTTCACCATAGTCTATGAATATAGAATACAGCGCAGTACGTAATCTGTTCAATAAAACAATGTTAAAGATTAACACTCACGAGTCAGACACTCTACTGAATCTGACTATATCGCCAATACCATCAGCAGCTGTTCCGTAATTCTTCAGTCTTCGATATCAAAGGTTGGCAGTGAATATACGGGAAAAAACATGGCCGCCTTTATACACGTCACATTGAATATTTTGAGCCTTCTGATTGGTTAACCCTTCTATTGGTGAACTATAAAATGAGTCAGCTCATTTTGGCTGGCTCACTAGTACACCAGGGTACCCAAAAATTCCAACAGAACTATCCTCTTTGGTACTTTATGAATTTAAGTATGGTACTAGATTGGCAGTTAGGTCTCATCATTTTACAGTTGACTTGACTAGATGTTACTTTTAAGTTCTATGCTAACAGTTTCTTTTCTCGCACTTCTCATTTGTAGAACTCTTTTCTGGATCATTGTTTCCCAGTCAACTTTGATCAGAAAAAAATGATAATAATAATAATATTCCAATAGACTCATTGAAGGGAATCCCTGGTAGCCCATGCCTTAAAGAAATACAAAAAATTGTACCGTCAAATACAGGCCACACCTTACTAAGGGCTTTATCTATGTAAAACGTGTGATTTTTTTTTTTTTAAATTGCTCATTGTAAATGTCATGATGCTATTTCTGGTCGGGACCCAGAAAGAAATGAGTACACACCAGAAATTGATAATAATAATGATAATAATAATAATAATAGTTTTAACTCGTGAAAACTACATCGTTTTGCTATTTAAATTTTCTGATGAATCTTAATTCTTAAGTTAATGATTGAATAAACTCATGGCAAGTTCTACGATAATAAAATATCTGTAGAAATTCTATCACATCGTTAAATATTTGAGCTTAACAAAATATTGCAATAACAATCATAATTTTCTGATGAATTTTAATTTTTTATGACTATGTCTGCTCTATGGTCAAATTATAAGGACCTGCAAATCGAAGATTAAATACTGCAAAGACAAAATGTGCCTTCTTATTGATATGGCAGTCCCTGCAAACTGCAATTTTCAAAAAACTATAAGAATACAAGGATCTTGAAATCGAAATCTCAAAAATATGGCACATAAGAACATTGACAATTCCAGTTGTAGTTTGAACCCTCGGATTGATTGGAAAGATTTCAATAGACTCATTGAAAGGATTTCTGGAAGTCCATGCCTTAAAGAAATACAAAAAATTGTACTCACAAGTACAACTCATAACTTACGAAGGGATTTATCTATGTAAAATATGTGTGATTTTTTTTTTTCAAAACTGCTCAGTGAAAAATGTCATGTCGTCATTTCTGACCTTAAGTCTCTTGTTGGGACCCGGAAAGAAATGAGTATAAACCAGAAATGAAAGTAAATAAAACAGTAATAATAATCCTAGTCTGTCTCTTTGAAATCAAAGTTTGATCCTCACCGGATACTACATATCTAAGGCCTTGTGCTAAACTTAGTAAATAACAAAGATCATTTCAGTTTAGTGATGGTTAATGAGCAAATCTTTAGTTTCCAATAGATGAGATGCTTGGAATAAAAGTATTATTTACAGGTTGTATTATTTAAAAGTTGGGAATTTCCAGAATATCAAATAAAAGGGATGACTGGAATAAGGGCAAAAAGTGAGTTCAATCCTTGCCGGGTGCTCCATATCTGACGCCCTGTGCCAAACCCTGAAAACATCTTATTTCATCAGATTCAGATTCTTCACTATTACAACTAATTTTTTTCCGCTTCTGTTTGCCGACTGTTCCATTCGACACGCCAGGTACTTGTCAAGAATACAATGTGTTGCAGTCTGAGGTAGCTCAGAGTAATCCCCGAGAAACAGGATTAGTAAACTGTTCTTGAAAAATTAATGACAGGCTGTAATCCTTTAGGATTGAAATCCCACCCTGACCATGACCAGCATCTCCCAGCTTTTATCGGTCTCTCTCTTTCTCCCGGCCTCTTCCTCAGCCAAACACCCTCTGCGGTATTTGATTTCTATTGCTAAGTCTTCTTGTCCCTTCATCTTCACACTTTGAGGTTTCGAGAACGCAAAGTCATCATCAGGCTTAAATCAGAGTTGAAAGAGCACAACTCTATGAAATGGCCATACCTGCCTCTTCTTCCATACAGCTTCATCCTTCATCAACCACACCCCACCATCACCAGTGACTGCCTCCTTGACCCCAACACATGCACACAGACTGTGAAACGCATCAGAAAGAGAGCTGTGACTAAAAGATCAAGCCACACTTTGACGCTAATATCAGTGTAATGTTTTTCTGGAGAGAGACGAGCAGAACGTCTTTAAGTCGAAGATGGAAAACAGTGGGATTCCAGTTTAATCCCCCCCCCTGTCAGAACTTCTTCGGACAGATAATGTGAAAAGCTCTGTGTGGACAAGTTTGGACAGTCATCTATTAGACAAGATGAAATCGAAAACAGTGGGGGAAGTGAAAATAAATGGGGAGATGAGGTTTAGAAAGAAAGCAGCCATAAAAAAAGAAAAGAAAAAGAAATTACCAGAGGATCAAAGATTATAGGAAAAAAAAATCAATCGAGTTACAATTAACGGATTCTTGATCAATTTCAAACTTTTTTTTTTTTTTTGGTCTAAAGATCTGAGATGAGTATTCCTATTGCTTGTTCTCTCGTTCCATAATTAGTTAGTTTATATGTTACACCCTGGAAATACCTCATAAATAATGGACTTTGGTCATAACGAAAGATGGAAAAGACATAAGACACTCCCTGGTTACAGTGCAAAAAAAAAAGCAAGACGATAAAAGAGGTGATAATGCTCACATGTGTTTAAAGTCTGCTCCAGAGAAATGGAAAAACTTGTTAATTTGTACACTCTTCTTTAAATAATGACCTGCATTCATACTTATCAGTCATAGGATAAAGTTTCTTAAACAAATGGAAGAAAGGAAGTGACGTTTCACATGTGGCTTGCCCACAAGCAGAATTTTTCATAACCATTTTTGGTTCTCACCTGTCGAGGTGCAGTTGAAATGCACCGAAACGAAGTTGCAACTTTGTAGTGAGTAAACTGTTTTTGTCTATCTGATAAAATTATAATAATTAAGAAGCTTTTAGAAATTTAACATGTTTCGCTTTTATTTAAGCTTTATCAGAATTAAAATATGAAAGAGAAAAGAAAATTCTGGCATTTCTTTTTGCCTTCTTTGTTTTTCATTGGTTAAGTAGACCTCACTTGTATTTGTCTTGTCTGGTAGCGTTTGTGTGTATAATTCTTCTGTGTTTGTGTACCGTTGGTTTACATGATATTTAGTTGATAGTGTCCATATGTGGGCATTTAGTTAGTGTGTACATGACACCCTAGTAATACCTCATAAATAATGGACCATTCCAATTTGATCATGAGGAAAGATGGAGGATATAAAATAAATAAAAACTATAGCACTGATAATTTTTTTAATAGCATTTGCCTTGGTCCTTTGTCAATCTCTAAAATTAAGAAGGTATTTCTGCTGAATCATATATATATATATATATATATATATATATATATGTATGGGGGGGATGTGGGTGTGTTGAAAACTTGTGTATTTTCGTGAACAGTCAAGAACTGCAAAATGCTGAAAATAAAGTGATAATCTTCTGGAATTCACCCATCTCTCAAAAATTGGCCCTTAGCTTCCCATCTCACAGGAAACGGGCCCTTGGCATCCCATCTCACAGAAACTGGCACTTTGACTCATCTCTTAGCATTCTAGATCTTGAGCTATGTTAAAAATTCCCCACCCCCAAAAAAAGATCCACGGAAGGCAATGGGTAATGAAAAGGGTTACTTACTTGTTTTCCAATGTACACCAGCCGCAGTAAGGATCCTTCACACTGATACACTTTTCACAAGTTGTGTAACGACTACAGTCCTGAACTTGTACTTTGCTTAGCTTGAAAAAAAAAAAAAAAAAAATTAAATTAGACAAAATATTAAAGTGTCAGAGATTCCTAGCAATCAGTTAAAACACGCATTCACAAACACTTACTTTCCAATTTCTAACTGAATTTCTGGGATGAGGAGTTATTAAGTCCCCATTTTCATTTTTGTTGTTACAAAGTTTCAGCTGTTGTGCTTCCTGGTTTTCATCAGGAGATCAGTCCTCCATTTATTTATTTATTATGAAATAACTGAACAGGACTAAATAAATAAAAAGAAAAACTAAAGATGTCCCTAGATATGAGCAGTTGAATGAGAACCATAGATAAATAAAGGGTTTAGTTCAGAAATCCCTGTAGGTTACCCAGATTGAAATACACCTGAGGAAGGCCAGAGGACAAAATGTCCGAAATGTATTGATAACAACATGAGAACTATAATTCGAATATAAAAGGTGTAAATATTGGCTTGGCTTGTAAAACTTAATTAATGTGTTGCAAATATATTGTTTATGATGTAGCACCCAATGCAAAAACGTTTAGAAATTTCATATCTGGAAAATAGACATATTTTCAATCAATAGTAGAACAAGATGCCGGGTCAGTGAATGTCAAATGTTTCCTTATAAAGGTAATAGCTGATATTACCATTATCATTGACGCCCAAAAAATTTGCTATGTACTTTTTATAAAAGTAGAGAGACTCCTTTGAATTGAATCTTTCTCCTAAAAACGCAAATATTTTGTTACTATATATTTTTGGTATAGCATAACAAAGTTTATACTCCATGTCTCACTAGGCAAGAACAATATTTGGTCTAAGGGTCTAAGGTGCAAGTTCAACATTATCTCACCACTAAAAATAAAAAAATAACTAAGTGCAGTGACATAGCCTTCCCCCCTCATCTCCAAAGTGTAAGTGCAAAAATGCGACACTTCAAGGGTTGACGGACACTTCAAGGGGTGGGAGAAGGCGAAGTGCGCTGACGAGACACTTCAAGGGGTGGGGAAGGCAGAAGGCGACGAGACACTTCAAGGGGTGGGGACGATGTGCGCTGAGAGACACTTCAAGGGGGTGGGGAGAAGGCAAAGTGCGCTGACAAGACACTTCTTCAAGGGGTGGGGAGAAGGCGAAGTGCGCTGACGAGACACTCAAGGGGACAGAGGAGAAGGCGAAAGTGGGAGACGACAGGACACTTCAAGGGGGGGGGGAAGGCGAAGTGCGCTGACGACACTTCAAGGGGGGGGAGAAGGCGAAGTGCGCTGACGAGACACTTCAAGGGGGTGGGGAGAAGGCGAAGTGCGCTGACGAGACACTTCAAGGGGGTGGGGAGAAGGCAAAGTGCGCTGACGAGACACTTCAAGGGGGTGGGGAGAAGGCAAAGTGCGCTGACGAGACACTTCAAGGGGAGCGGAGAAGGCAAAGTGCGCTGACGAGACACTTCAAGGGGAGCGGAGAAGGCGAAGTGCGCTGACGAGACACTTCAAGGCGGGGGTGAGGCTAAACACGCCCATGCAGACTTCGCGGTGGAGGGGGGAGATTAAGTGTGTCGACGAGACACTTCAGAGTGAAAAAGGCTAAGCTACCCACATGAAAAATCATATCAGCCCAAAATACATCTTATCATATTGTTCTAAAATATATATATTTTTATCGCAACGATTTTCTTAATCTGATTTAATCTTAAATTTTAATTTTATTTTTTAATTTTAATCTTTATCTTTTTATTATCCTTTTTATTCCCTGTTCTGCCATCCATTTACACAAACTCGTTAGGTAGATTGATCATGGCTCTCCACTCTTTCCTATCCTTTGGAGCTCTTCGCAATCTGTTTTTGACTATTCCTCTAATTTCCTGTTCTGCCATGCATTTACATAAGGTCTTTAGGTAGGTTGATCATGGCTCTCCACTACTTCCTATTATTTGTATCTCTTAGCATTGTTCGTATTTTTACTATCCCTTTAATTCCCAGTTTTGCTATGCATTTACAAAAGCTCGTTAGGTAAGTTGATCATGTCTCTCCACTACTTCCCATCTTTTGTAGAGCTTAGCAATCTTTGTCTTTTTACTATGCCTTCTATTGTCGGTTTTTCCATTCGTTATTGGTCCTGATCTGGCATCTCGGCTTCAATCCCTTCCCCACCGCCGTAAACTAGTTTCACTTTGTTTTTTTTCTGTAAATACTGCCATGGTAATTCTTCTGGTGACATTTCCTTCATGGCATGTAGAATTTATGAATTTAAGCTCAGTACTTGATTGGCGATTAGGTCTCACTATTTTACAGTTGAATTAGAGTTAGTTCATTGCGTTCTCTGTGTTAAAGTTTTCCTCTGACAGGTATTTTTACTGCAGCGATTTTTTTAATATAATTTATGAAAATGAATTAAAAGTGTATTTTATAACAATACCACACCATGCTTAAACAATCTCACAATGCCATCGAAGTTCATGTTTCAGTGAACGATCTCTAAGAAGAAGCGTCACGCACTGCTAGCATTACACGCTTTTTGGTGCGTAAATTATGAATGAAACACGCAAAGCTCCTTAATATCGGAATATGTTTTGGAAAAGCTGTTGAAAATTATGACTGTATTCAGATGAGTCATTCTACCAATACAAGTCACCCAATTCCCCAGACTGCTAGAAAAACAAAGAAAGATGCCTTTGTGGTGGAATTTATTTTGTATCTTTGGATGTAGATAAATGATGTTCGAAACATTTTAAATTATGCGTAATAAGATAATAAATTTTTGGTCCAATTCAAGTGCAACGGGGAATAATACCTTCCAATGTTGTTATTAACATCAATAAAATAAATAATAAATAAATCTATACAATAATAAAACTCTAATCTCGTATGTATTTGTGCTCTCGAGATATAGCTTGAATGATAAATAATACCCCAACCAATAAAATTAGACAAGGGCTTCTTGGGCTCGGGCCGTTTTTCTGTTTGTACGACATTTTTAATAGCAAATTGAGTGTTTCTTTTAACACACATTCTTATTTCAAACCGCGTATATAAACAAATACCTGCATATTATATTCTGTGTGTGAAAAATTAATAAAAATTGATTATAAATTATATCAACATTATTAGATAAATTTAAATATGCATGGCATAATATACATTTATACAATCCACTACATTAGAACGTTTTTTTTATAAACAACTATTTGAAAGGTGAAGAGGATATATGTGTCACTTAACCTGCAGGTAAATAAATAAATAGATGCACACTGGTTTGATGCCGTTAAGTATTTTGAAACAATTGCAAAAAAGAAACAAAAAAAAACTTATTATTTTCACACAATGTGTTATAAAGCCCGGTGGAACAAAAACTGTCTTTAAATAAAAATTAAACAGCTCAGAATTTGAAATTGGAGAGACGAGTTCCAATTCCGGTCGGGTTTGTTATATTCACTTACATGCAAATATCGTTGGGAAAGGTATGAATCCACTTCTTACCCCCAACTATGGATTAATTAGTAGCACTTGTATCAGTAAAATCATTATTATCTCTAAAAAAAATCTTACACTCTAAAGATATTTTCTGGCTTTAAATAACCTGCAAAGGGTTGATAAGCCACAGAAAACGAACTCATCAATGAAATACTGATTAGCCACACTGGCACGTCTTTTAGATTTATTTATAATCTCTGGAATATGAATGTAGAGGAACTACCGTGGTCACAAATTGAGGGATCAGTTTTTATATTTATTGTAATGTAGAATTGATCCCCTACCTTATACTCACGACATAATTTCTTGATTTTTGATAAGCCGTCGAAAACGAATCAATCAATGAAATCCTGATTAGCTACACAGGCATGTCTTTTAGATTTATTTACAATCTCTGGAATATAAATGTATAGAAACTATGGTGGCCACAAAGTTAGGGATCAGTTTATATACTGATTGTAATATACAATTGTTCCCCCACTTAATATTCACATTATAATTTCTTCTTTGTTGGTAAACCACAGAAAACGAATCAGTCAATCTATTAAATTCTGATTAGCTACACAGGCATGTCTTAGATTTATTTAGTCTCTGGAATACGAATATATAGAAACTATTGTGCTAACAAAGTCAGGGATCAGTTTATATATTGATCGGAATGTAAAATTGATCCCCCATTTTATAATCACATTTATAATTTGTTTATCAAATGCCAATCGAGGACAAAAATATTAAGAAAAGAAAAAGATTTAAAATAGAGTTGATTGATGGAAGGGTAAAAAACAAAGCAAGCAAAAAACGGACTAACTGGTTATGGCTCCTCGCTCTTCAATGACAACTGAGGACAAAAATAGGATTTAAAAAAGAAGACAAAAAAGATTTCGAATAGAACTGATTGATCGAAGGGTGGAATAGAAACTTATAGAAAATACCCAATTTGTTGAAGTTATTACAGAAAAACAGAAGATCCGTGGACAAAGATATTGAGGAGACAGCAAATTCACCCGCGGGTGTTTGTGTTGACATACACAACAGACCCAGAGGTTATGCTGAAGGAGTCTAATGAGATTTATAAGGCCTCTTAATTTTCATTAAGTCAAATAAGGTGAGGACAGACCTTTTGTTTTCGTAACGCTGATTCCTATGTGGGCGTGAAGTAAAAGAAAGAAAAAAAGAGAAAGGGAAGCAAACAAAAATCAAATTGTCCAAAACAAATCTGTCACAAGGTGACATGTCCAGCTGCTAACGTTCCTTTAATGCAGGGTATTTATGAAACAAATTCCTTCCATGTCAAAGTCCAATAAAACCTAGGACATCATTGCATTCCCTATGGAATGTCTTTGAAATACGCTCCGACAGCGTCTGCAAATGACAAGATTCCGCTACCCATATGTCTCCTGCGGAGCTTGTTAGGCTGAAACTTCGGAATGAACTTGAAGGGGCAGCAAGAACATGCAAAGCAAGAAAAAGATTCTTGTTGAAGGAAACAACGTAGAAATAAGACAAAAAGTTCTTCAGATTGCCAACCTCGTGGCCTAAAGAGTTACATTTTCTTGCAGAGCCAAAAGTCAATCTTGGAACCCAGGTAAAAAGGTCAAGAATTTAAATACTCACACTATGTACATTGGTCGGACTGTTGCACTAATCTTTATTGCTATATCCACAACGTTTCAGCCTTTGTACGCTCCTGCCTTCTTCAGGATCTGTTTATGTTTCCAAGATGATGTGTAACTCATTAAACGATTTACATTGTTCGAACAGTTGCCATCATCTCCTTTGTCATATTCACATTTCAGCCCTTGTAAAATCCGGCCTTCTTCAGGATCTGTCGATATTTCTTAGATGAGTTATTGTAACTACACTATTTACAATGATGAGGCTGTTGTCCTTGTCTTTATTGCTATATTCACAACGTTGTACGCTCCGGAATTTTTCAGGTGATATTTCTTGAAATTTCAAACCGAACTCTTATTTAATCCACTCGGGTACATTTTTCTAGTTCCACGTGCCATGCCTCTTCCGGATATCTGTTTCAGTTAACTCCCTTGATGTCTCAACTCTTCAAGATTTTGTTCCCTTTACTGTGGACAGGTACTGAACTTGAAACTCAGTGGGTCAATCCATTATTAGGGCCCCTCAACCACGTGTCCTGTTCGAAATTAATCTTAACCTGTTCAAGTCTAGCTTTAACAATTATCTTCCCTACAAATCCACATAACATGAATGAAAAGAATACTTGAAATGACAAAGAGACAGTTGAAATGTTTGGTACTCATAATGTGGAAATAATGCCTGCGTATTATGCGACTGGTCACCGAAAATGCATAATTTTAACCCTTTCAAAAAAAAAAAAGATTTACCTATGTATAATACGACTGGTCAAAGAAAATGCACGATTTTATCTCTTCAAAAATACCTATATATAATGTGGTTATTTTCTAAGCGTAGCTTAGATGTGGCACAAGGCCGAAATTGTGGAGCACCCAGTGAGAATCGAACTCACATAGCGAGACAAGCTTGCCAACCATTAGACCACGCTGATATGCCCTAAATGATTTTCTAATTATTATTTTAGATGTGGCCATTTGCCGAAAAATGGAGCACCCAGTGAGCATCGAACTCACATTTTAGTCGTAATTGATCTAGCGAGATAAACTTGCTAACCACTACACCACGTCGAAGTGCCCAAACCTATGTATAATGTGACTGTTTAATGAACATGCATGATTTTAACCTCTTCAAAAAAAAAAAAAAAAAAGACAATGAAATGCTGCAAAATTGAGATTCCGCTAGAACGAAAAGGAAAGTTGTTGTCTCGGTAGATCAATTCGCGACTGTTCAATCGCCCACAAAAAAACAGTCTAAGCTTTCTCAGAAAATCAACATAAAATCACGCACTATACTCGAGCGTATACTGTATCTAACAATCTTCTGTACATACAAATAGGAAAGATATTAAAAACAACAACAACAAAAAAAAAGACAATGAAATGCTGCTGAGAGCTA